AAAATAGTGTTAGTGAAATCAGGTGTCGGTAAAATGAGTATTAGGAAAATTATATAAACCCACTCTGATCAATTAAAATTACCTAATTTTTGTCACGCTTCTTGTTGTTTGTATATTTATAAAAGTTTAAATAAGTAATATTAGAATATAGGGTCTTTGTCTTGAAAATCAAGTATAGAACATATAATTTACATGTTCTATAACTTGATTTTTAAGATAAAGACCCATATATCTCTTTATTGTAGTATATAGGTTGATATTATTTAGTTATTATTGGTTTAGTGAAAAGCATTGATAATTATTAAGTAGGTAATATAGCTTGTGAACCTATGTGATAGTAATATCTAATTTTAAAGAGTAAAAGAATTCTTGTATAGTATTTGTAATAGTAAGTTTTAGATCTAATAAACTAAAGCATGTTAACTAGTAGATATATCCTTTATGATTCTTACATATAATACAATTTATATCTGAAAATAAGTTTAAATATAGTATATAGAGATGTGATATAGTAGATAGTATATTTAATATTAATTTGATTTTAAAAATTTTTTCTTGATATAGTCTAAAGTTTATATAAGATGATATTTTTTTATTATTATTGTTTAAATATAGCCATGTTGCATTCTAGTTAATCTGTAAGAATATAGATATAATATTTTCTATATAGTGTTAAAAGAACTATATCACAATAATATGAGTATTGCATATATTTTTAATTGATCTATAAGTAAGTTGTTCAAATATGTATTTTTAATATTGTATCAAATTGATAAAATATTTAATCAATATTAAAATTAATATCAATATTTATAATATACTATTTTAATTTAAATCTACTAATTATATTTTAGTTATATGATTTAAATATTTTTTTATTTAATTATACAAAGCATATACAATATAAAAAATAATTAAAAAATATAGTAACTTAGAAAACTAATAATATTAGCTTATTATACTTTTTTAAGATTTTAATTTAATATTTTTAGAAGCAAATATTTAATATAAGATATTGTAATTTATTGCTATAGTGATTTATTGCTATCTCTGATCAACCAATTAAATATAAAATTAGGTATAATATAGTATAATCAGAGAAATTCAAAACAAATAGTCATTTTGTCAAAAATTATTTGTAATTCAAGATTTTGCTTATAAAACTACTTCTTGTATTCTAATTAAAAAATTTTTTTGCAAAATTTTAGGTTAAGAACTTATTATTTTAAATTTTATATTCAATTCTAATCTAATATATATATGCTGCCAAAATTATTTTAGAGTCTAAACCCTAAAATTAAAATTTAAAAATGAAATTGTTTTAACTTATTTTACTTAAAAAACAAATTTTTTGCAATTTTTTGAAGAGATGAAATTATAAAAAATATAACTACCTAAATTAGATTTGCTCTTGTATATAAAAAAATTCTAATTTGCTTTAATAAAAATAAAATAGAGTTTTTTTAAAAATCTATTTCAGTGGTATGTATAGCCTAATACTAGCCCTAATTTTAAATTAATTTAAGATTTTTTATTGTTTGATTTTATATTATACATAATCTTATAAGTGGTGATAAATCATATAAGTGAAAAAATATAAAATCTTTTAATATATATAAGAGTTAAACTAATTAGAACTGGCAGTAATCGTTATCGCTATTAAAGATTATATTAGCAGTAATCATTATCGCTATTAAATATTATGCTGCATTTAATTGATCAGAGTGGGTTTATATAATTTTCCTAATACTCATTTTACCGACACCTGATTTCACTAACACTATTTTTCTGATACTCATTTTCCTGACAGCATTATTTTGCCAACAGTATAATCTTTCCGAAAACCATTTTTCTAACAAAATAGTTACCCAACAATATCATTTTCCTGATAGTGCTTTCTTCCTGACAATAATTACCTCTAACTCTAATATAACTTGAGAAAATGATATCGGAGAAGAAGCACTGTCGGTGAAATGATACAGTTAGATAAATATTTTGTCAAGAAAATGGTTATTGAGAAAATTATATTGTCGGCAAAATAATACTGTTGGGGAAATGAATATCGGGAAAGTAGATTGGTGAAATTAAGTATCAGAAAATGAGTGTTGGCAAAATTAGTGCTACCAGATTAGAGTTGCATTATTATTTATATGTGAGGGTAAAAATTTAATTGTTTGTCGAAATATATCTAAATAAAAAGTAAAAAAATATGATTAGAAAAATGATCTGTTTTCTTTTTGCTCAAATCAAAAGTTAACCTGTAACCATTTGAAATTAATGAAGTTCTCTTGTATAATAAAAGAAAAAATTAAGCAAGACTTAATATAAGTCTTTAAAAACCTGAAATAATAGAAGGTTAGTTTATACTTTTAATGTTATTTATATATCAAAATTGTTGTTAATGTATTATATTTAAGACTAAACATGTAACTAAATTTATAATAAATAAGAAAACCAGCTGGTTACTTTTTTGAAAAGTTTTCAAACTGATATTTTTTTCGCAGAGTATAGTAATGAAAATAATTTAGCTGCTATTTGGTCAGGTATAAGCGTTACAAACAACTAACAAAATTATATTCAGGATAACTTTATAAGTATGAATACTGTTCATAATGATCTTATATGTGCTAGAATAAACAACTTGGATGCCATTTTAGATAATTTTTTAACTTTTGAAGAAAATCACATAAATACTATTCAAGGTAGTCTAGATAACCTTCTAAGTGTTAGGAAAAATTACTTAGCTGCTACTTATGATGATACTATAGGTTTTGAAGAAGAATATTTAGCTACTGTTGAAAATGATATCACAAATGTTGACAACAATATGGCTTAAAATATTAATATTAACTTTACAGAGGAATTTAGTATTAATATTAGAAATTCTTTTTCTTCATAAGATAAGGCTAAATTGTATTTTAAAAAATATACAAAACTAGCCAAATTTTCTATACATTATAAATATTTTGAAGTTAACAATATTAGAATTATATATCATTGAATATTTGAATGTGGTGTTATAGAACAGTTTATTATTTTATTAGTTTATTATTCCGATATTGTATTTTATTATTTATTTTATTATTATTA